TGATGTAAAAGATCCTGCACTATTACTAGAAATTCTTGTAGGTTGAGACATTAATTGAGATAACCCACAGGTGACTGTCATAGATTTAAGCTTATTCTTCAGGGGACAATTATCAGATAGCCAATCAATATTTAGATCACCCAGCCAGTATGGCTCTCTGTTTTCCTCAGTCACTTTGTCCAGCATATTACATAAACCATTTAAATACTCTATCCTGGTACTAGGTGGCCTATAACAACAGCCAAGAACTATTGGTTTCAAATACGGAAGTTGTACCTGTAACCATAACACTTTAACATCATCAACCATTAAGTCGTATCTCAGTTTCACGGGAAAATGATCACATATGTAAATGGCCACACCTCCTCCAAACCTGTTTCGATCATGTCTATAAATTAAAAAAACTCCCGACATAAACATCTGAATTATCTATGAAGCTGTCCAGATGGGTTTCAGAAATCATAAGTATGTCTATTTTGTTTAATTGCAAAAATAGAGAAAGGTCATGAATTTTATTCCTTTTTTGTGATCAACTTTTTTTTATTTCTTTCTTTTTGCTTTCTCTCATTACATCCATACCCATTGCCCCCACCCTTGTCCCCGGAGCAACATCAACCCCCCCCCCCAAAAAAAAAAGAGAGAGAAAAGGGTGGGAAAAAAACAACAACAACAACAGAAACAAAATTTACAGTACATACATGGTAACTTATTTAACAAAACAAAAAGGAAAAGGGCGGCCTCAGAACAACAGTTGAACTCTCTCAGCTGCCGCTTCCAGATTCTGTATTGTTTCTGTTTTTGCCTTTTGTGCTGGCGCACTGGAGATTTCTAATGACAGAATTTCATAAAATAGGAATTTCCACTGATACACATTCAGTACATGTGGTGGTTTCCATCTCTTTATCAACATCTTTTTAGCAGCCGTTAAACCTGCAAACAGTACTCTTTTCTTTTTCGAAATTCGAAATACTGAGCCAGAAGGAATAGACCCCGGGGCATTCCCATATCATGTGCATATACACTCACCGCCCACTTTATTAGGTACACCATACTGGTAACGGGTTGGACCCCCTTTTGCCTTCAGAACTGCCTCAATTCTTCGTGGCATAGATTCAACAAGGTGCTGGAAGCATTCCTCAGAGAGCTTGGTCCATATTGACATGATGGCATCACACAGTTGCCGCAGATTTGTCAGCTGCACATCCATGATGCGAATCTCCCGTTCCACCACATCCCAAAGATGCTCTATTGGATTGAGATCTGGTGACTGTGGAGGCCATTTGAGTACAGTGAACTCATTGTCATGTTCAAGAAACCAGTCTGAGATGATTCCAGCTTTATGACATGGCGCATTATCCTGCTGAAAGTAGCCATCAGAAGTTGGGTACATTGTGGTCATAAAGGGATGGACATGGTCAGCAACAATACTCAGGTAGGCTGTGGCGTTGCAACGATGCTCAATTGGTACCAAGGGGCCCAAAGAGTGCCAAGAAAATATTCCCCACACCATGACACCACCACCACCAGCCTGAACCGTTGATACAAGGCAGGATGGATCCATGCTTTCATGTTGTTGACGCCAAATTCTGACCCTACCATCCGAATGTCGCAGCAGAAATCGAGACTCATCAGACCAGGCAACGTTTTTCCAATCTTCAATTTCGATGAGCTTGTGCAAATTGTAGCCTCAGTTTCCTGTTCTTAGCTGAAAGGAGTGGCACCCGGCGTGGTCTTCTGCTGCTGTAGCCCATCTGCCTCAAAGTTCGACGTACTGTGCGTTCAGAGATGCTCTCCTGCCTACCTTGGTTGTAACGGGTGGTTATTTGAGTCACTGTTGCCTTTCTATCAGCTCGAACCAGTCTGGCCATTCTCCTCTGACCTCTGGCATCAACAAGGCATTTCCGCCCACAGAACTGCCGCTCACTGGATATTTTTTCTTTTTCGGACCATTCTCTGTAAACCCTAGAGATGGTTGTGCGTGAAAATCCCAGTAGATCAGCAGTTTCTGAAATACTCAGACCAGCCCTTCTGGCACCAACAACCATGCCACGTTCAAAGTCACTCAAATCACCTTTCTTCCCCATACTGATGCTCGGTTTGTACTGCAGGAGATTGTCTTGACCATGTCTACATGCCTAAATGCACCAAGTTGCCGCCATGTGATTGGCTGATTAGAAATTAAGTGTTAACGAGCAGTTGGACAGGTGTACCTAATAAAGTGGCCGGTGAGTGTATGTGCCCAACACTTTGTGAGGACATAATTGACACAATGGGCTTTGAGTGATATGGATCTGGCAGCGTCGTCTTGGAGATAAATAATATCTTTGTATTAGTTTATAATGAATTAACTGGTTATTCTGATTACGGGACGATAAAGAAATATTACTCCAGACTCTCTGCCAGTTAATGCTAAACCCGTAATCTTTGGTATCTGTATTCCAGACAAGAACAATGCCTGTGGGTCCAGATAATCTTCCTCGTAGCTCATTATAAATATGTGAAACAAAACCCTTTTTTTAAACTTTTGCAATGTTCAAGATATACATTAAAGGATGAATTGGTAGCGTTTGATTCCATGGAACACCATATGTTCGCATTGCTGTGCGCAACTGTAAATAAAAAAAGAAAGAGGTACCAGGCAGGTTATAGATTTGTCATGTTCATGAAATGGTCTAAAGCAGTCTTCATTATAAATATCAGACAGCGTATGAACTCCCTGATTTTGCCAAGAGGGAAAAGTGATTGGTTCACCACCAATAAGCAATAGATTATTTCTAAAAATTGGTGTATCTAAGTGCCACTTAATATCCCATTTGACTAATTTGGCTATATTATTCCAAACTGAAACTGAGTTTGCGACAATTGATCCAAATTTATTCAGACAGAATTAAGGGGAGAGGCCTGAAAAAAAGACATCTATAAGCGCATATGGGTGTACAATATGATTCTCTATATTCACCCAGGGTGTGTCTACATTTTTGTCAAACCACCTTGATACAGACTTCAGCATAAAGGATAAGAAATACATTTCAAAATTAGGTACTGAAAGCCCTCCTGAGGTCTTATTCTTCTGCAGCGTAGACCTACTAATTCTTGGGTGCTGGTTTTGCCATATGAATTTAAACACTAGGCACTGTATCTTCTCCCAAAATCCAGCTGGTGGAGGTAAATGTAGCATATTCGCATAAAAGTTGACCTTGGGAAGTATATGGGACTTAGTCACTGATATTCGTGTAGCAAGGGAAATTGAAAAAGCATCCCATCTATTTAACTCATCCGATATAGATTTCTTTAGGTACTTATAATTTTTAGAAACAATTTTTCCAAGAGATGGATATATGTCGATTCCAAGATACTTAAAGTGTGTAACTACTGGGATCCCCACATTCAACTGCAGATTGTTCATAGCAGAATTTAAAGGAAGCAAAGACGACTTGTTTAAATTTATCTTATGTCCCGATATAAAACTAAAATTATGAAAAATCTCCAATGCGGCAGGCAGAGAAGACTGCACATCATTAAGAAATAATAATAAATCATCCGCAAACAAAGAGGTCTTATGATAGGTTCTGCTCACTGTTATTGGTTTTACCTCCTCTGAGTATCTAATTTTTTGGGCTAAGGGTTCCAGAGATAATGTGAACAGCAAAGCAGAAACTGGACAACCTTGGCGAGCTCCCCTTTCAATACAGAAAGGTGCAGAGCTTTGCTTAGATGTAACAACCACAGCAGTTGGATTACAGTACAATGTTTTAAGCATACCAATAAAATTATTACCAAAACCCATTGTTTCCAGAGTGTGCCACAGATATTCCCATTCGAGTCTATCAAAGGCTTTTTCAGCATCTACGGACAACACTGTGCAGGGTGAAGCTATATTGGTACCAGCATCAACAATGTGTAAAAGACGTCTCATATTATCAGATGCATGTCTTTGTTTTACAAAAGCCGTTTGGTAAGGATGAACCAAGATTGGCAGAACTGTCTCAAGCCTCCGAGCGAGAACCTTTGCGAAAAGCTTAACATCTGCATTAAGCAGTGACAGAGGGCGGAAACTGGAACATAAGGTGATATCCTTGCCTCTTTTATGTAGCAAAGAGATAATAGCCTTATTTATATCTCTATTAAAGGATCCTAATTTGATGGCCTGTTGAAACATTTCCAAAATAAATGGGCCCAGATCATCCCAAAATTTTAAATACAACTCAGGGGGGATTCCATCCAGGCCTGGTGATTTACCATGGTTCATGCATTTAACTGCCTCATGTATTTCATTAATAGTGAGAGGGGAATCCAATAAAAGTCTTTGCTGTTCTGGTACTTTGGATATGTTTAGGCCATCGAAAAATGAAACAAGATCACTTTTTGCAAAGGTTGCTTCAGATGAGTACAGCTGTTGATAAAATAACTTAAATTCATAATTAATTTCAAGGGGATCATATATCACTTCACCCTCTCTGTTTTGGATAGCAACAATGTCTGCTTTTTTATCGTTGTAGTGTATTTTTCTAGACAGAACAGAGCTCGGCTTATTTCCATTTAAATATTGAGTTTCTCTTGCTCTATGTACTAGAAACTCTGCTCTTCGCATAAGGAATTTTATTCCTCAAACTACATATATTAATATGTGCAAGGATTAAATCTTAAGGTAGTTTATTTATACTGGTCATCTTAGTTGATGGTAAATAATGTCGGATTATGTATAATCTATTTTAACATCTTGTACCCTAAGTTGTTTTGTCATTATCAAGTAGACTACATCAGACTTATTGGTCACACAAAGATAAAATTGAACTTTAAAGTTCATTAGGCCAGTGACTGACTTTGTCCAGCCCTGGGAATGATGATTAGTTTATCATACTTCAAGCTCGCTTTATCACCTCTCTCTGTGGCAGCTTTCAACTTCGGCCACAGCTCTTTCCTCCTCAGTTGCACAGCTTCCGAGAAATCTTCATTAATGTAGATCTTAGTGCCCTTTAATTTCTTGGCAGAAGAAAGAATCATCTCTCTGTCTTTAATGTGAAGACAACAATTTTCCTTGGCCTTCCCCCCTCCTGGAACTGACCAAGCCTGGGCACGCTCAATGTCCATATTTGTTCCATCCAAGCCCAAATCTTTAGAAAGCATTTGTCTCACCTTTTTCTCTGACTCACTCCAATTCTCTCCTTTCTCATCAGCAATGCCATTGATTAAAATGTTTGTTCTCCTGCTCTGATTCTCAATGTAGTCCAGCTTGGTGAACATTGCATCCAGTTCCTGCTTGGAAGTAGTTATGGTTGTCTCAAGTGCCTTTATCTTTGCCTCAATTTCAGTGCATCCCATCTTTTTCTCTTCAAACTTTACTTGGGTGAATTCTAAGCTGGTCTTCAACTCCTGTACATCTCTGATAACGCCATCCAATCTTTTGATAGTTCCATCCATGATCAGCTGAATGAAACATTTAAAGTTGTCCTGCTGCTGCAGTAACATATCCTTATAGATCTCTCTCTGCTGCTCCATTAACTGAGAGAGTGAGCTCATTGTGACCACAGCATCCTCCTCACAAGGAGATATTTTAGCATTTTTAGGAGGCATGATGTATCTTACCAGGATGTACCAGAGGTTGATAAAAGTTGAAAAAGTCGATGGTGACAGGTCTGTTTGTTAGAGGCCTAGTAGGCCCAAAAGCCCATACACTTGAGCTACAGCCACAAGCTCAGCAAGTTGATGAGATATCGTCCACAATGTTGAGACAAAGTATAAATAAAAAGCAACTTGAGTTAGCTGACAACTAGATTTGAGAGTACCGGAAGGGATTCAGTAGATTAATGTTAGATTCTAAAGGGCCAGATTCTCAGAGGAAACTCCTGGCAGCCATCTTGTGAACTGAGGTGTGAGGTCGCTCACACCTCAGTTCACCTCAGTGTACTGGTTTGGGGACAGGTACAGGTACAAGTACAGGTATATGTACAGGTACAGGTATATGTACAGGTATGTGTACAGGTACAGGTACATGTATCTGTAAAGGTACAGGTATGGGGACAGGTGCAGGTACAGGTATGTGTACAGGTATGGGGACAGGTACAGGTACAGGTATAAATACAGGTACAGGTACAAGTACAGGTATATGTTCAGGTACAGGTATAAGTACACGTACAGGTATGTGTACTGGTTTGGGGACAGGTACAGGTATATTATCAGGTACAGGTATATGTACAGGTGCAGCTGCAGGTACTTTTTAAAGTTTGACTTTAAAAAAATTAGCTTTTATTTTAAATTTTTTCCTGTTTCTTGTTAAAGTTGTTTTTTTTTCAGACTCTCAGTGTGTGTGTGTGTGTGTGTGTGTGTGTGTGTGTGTGTGTGTGACCTCACCCTGTGATGTCACATTTCCCAGCTGTCCCTGTGGCTCCAGATGAACTTCCTGTGAACTCGTACCTGCTGATGACCCTCCTCCTCCTCCTCCTCCTCAGGGTGGGTGGTCCTCACATTCCCCACTCTGAGTGACAGGTGGGCGGGGCCACCATTGTTGTTCTGCACACAGAGGCGGAGAGGCCGTTCATTAAGCAAATGATCTGGACAACAAACCCAAACCCGTCCGTCACGTCATCCTTTAGTGTGAAGAGTGAAGAAACTATCTTAGATTTATAATCATAGATTTACTGAGGAATACAAACATCATGTAGAACAGCGGTTCTTCACTGGTCTCACTCAGGGACCCACATTTTCTCATGGTCCTTCAGTCGTGACCCACTTTTATAAAATTCAAACCAAGAAAATTTATTTCTTAAAAAAACCCTCAAATCTTAAACATAAATACACTCGTTTATTGAGTAAAGTGCATTTCAGAGCACATGAACTGAGGACGACAACTACTTAAGTTACATATACAGAAAATATCAAATAAATATCAAAATGTACAAAATAAAGACCATAAAAAAACATGTAATTTTACTGCATTCAGGCCACATTAATAAGAAACCGAGGAGGACCATGACATAATGCGTGCTTTTCAAATAAGATATTCTTTAAAATAAAAGACATGTCAAACATCAGATGCGCATTTAATATTTACTTTTTTTGACCAGCTCTTCGTGACCCAACCAGAAAGTGTCCACAACCTTCTTTTGGGTCGAGACCCACCAGTTGAGAACCACTGCTGTAGAGGGTTGGGCAGGTGGAAATGAAAACCATTTTCAATCAAGTGAATCATCTATTGTTGGAAAAAAAATCTCAAAGAAAGTGTAAAACATACGGCTCTATCATCTGAAGTGACTTTGCGTTTATACACTTTCTGATTCCTGCACAAACTCCACTTTCTGATGACCTGTGTGGGTTTTTTTTCTAATGTTTAGTAAGCTCGTGTGACTCTCATCACCTGCTGCTGTAGTTCTGGCCAAGATGGCGCCGGTGTGTGTGGCCTGCCGTCTCTCGCTGTCAGCGCTGTTTGTGTTTGTGCTGCTGTTTGTGTCTATCGTCATAAATAATGTCAGCTCACTGTTTGTGTACGACCGCCAAACACTGCTGGATCTTCGCCCCTCTGCCAAGGATTTGGTGAATTTAGATCCTGATCACTGCGGTCACACGACTTTTAAACTGTTTCAACTCCCCGGGATACCTGCTCACCTTCGCTCCACTTCCCCGGCGTAAACGCCGGCGCCGCCGTGGCAAACGCAGCGGCCAGCTGGTGAAAGTTAAAGCTCTCTTGGCTCGATCTTCCGCTGTTCCCCTGAGGAGAAATGGAGTGGGATCTGGTCTCTTTTTTCATCTACGTTCGCTGGACCCTGTCGACTCCTGGCTGGTACCTGTCGTCGGTTCGGGTGAGGTAACCCGTCCCCGCGGCCCCTGCTCTCCTCGTCCTCACCGGCGTGGGGTGAATCCCCGTCATCTACGGGCCCTGTGTCGGGCTCCACGATCACGATGCCTCGGGTGTGCCGATTTCTACCAGGTTCGGCCTTGTCAATGCCAGATCACTGGCAAACAAAACTTTTATCCTGAAGGATTTCTTCATGTCCCGTGGATTGGATTTTCTCTGTGTAACTGAGACATGGTTGAGTACCGGTGAGTCCAGCCCTTTTATTGAACTCTGTCCGCCGGATTGCTGCTATTTTAATTCCCCGCGGTCGTCTGGTCGAAAAGGAGGTGGAATAGCAGTTATTTTTAAAAGCGACTTTAAATGCCGGCAGATCTGCCTGCAATTCTCATTCACAAGTTTTGAAATGAGCTTGTTTGAACTGGGCCGCTCTCATGTTGTCCTGTGCGCCATCATTTATTGACCACCCAAGTACAATAAGGATTTTATAAGCGACTTTTCTGAATTTCTGGCCGAAATTCTGCCGAAATACGACCGTGTCCTTATTGTTGGTGATTTTAATATTCACACTTGTTGCCCTGAAGAGCCGGTCTCCAGGAGCTTTTTAAATCTCATTGACTCTTTTAACTTCGTGCAGTCTGTGTCCGGTTCTACACATAATCTCGGGCACACACTAGACTTAGTGCTCTCGCACGGTCTGTGTGTTTCCAATCTTGACATTTGTGACGCTGTTTTCTCGGATCATATGCCGATTTTATTTGACATCCCCACTCAGTGTCCGGTTAAATTGCGCGCTCCACCTAAACCGTATCGCATGTTTAACCCTTCCTCGCCTGCTCTGTTCTCCTCTACCTACATTGGTCTCTGCGAGGATGACTCTGCAGCCCCTGTGTGTGTGGATACTGAGGAACTGGTATTGAGATTTAACTCCACCTGTCTACAAACACTGGACACGATCGCTCCTCTGAAGACCCGGCGCACCAAACCTACACCCGAGCCCTGGTTGAACGACGTCACTCGTGCAGCCAGGCGTGAGTGCAGGAGGGCGGAGCGCAGGTGGAAAAATGACAGACTGCATGTGTCTCTTGGCATCCTTAAAGATAGTCTGAGGAATTATCAGAGGATTGTAAAAGCCGAGAAGAATAAATACTTCTCAGAATTAATTGCTTTTAACTGTAACAACCCCAGAGCTCTGTTCAAAACCATAAACACTGTCCTTGAGGCTCCCAAGTCTCTTGGTTTTGATGCCTCCACTGAAATCTGTGAAAAATTCCTCCACTTCTTCACTGATAAAATTATGTCAACCAGAGCCTGTATCTCTCAACCTTCGTATGACCATTCAGCCCCTCTGCACCCCTCATCTGTCTTTGCCAAATTTGAGTCTGTGTCCCTCTCTATTTTAAAGGACATAGTCGGCCATATGAAGCCTTCTGGTTCCCCTGCTGATGCCATCCCCCCTCACTTGTTTAAAGAAGTACTTGCTACTATTGGACCAAGTGTCCTTAATATTGTTAACAGTAGCCTCTCCTCTGGTACAGTACCTAAGGATTTTAAACATGCTGTAGTACGGCCTCTACTTAAAAAAACTGGCCTTGACCCATCCCTCTGTGCCAGTTTCAGACCCATCTCAAATCTTCCATATCTGTCCAAGATTCTAGAGAAGGTGGTCTACAATCAATTGTTACCATTTTTGGAAGATAATGGTATCACAGAGTTGTTCCAGTCTGGTTTTAAAGCTCTCCACAGCACAGAGTCTGCACTTTTAAAGGTTTCAAACGATATTCTAATGACAACAGACTCTGGAAAGTTTGTTGTCCTTGTGCTCCTAGATCTGTCTGCTGCATTTGACACTGTTGACCACAGCATTTTAATCTCTCGCCTTGAGCACTGTGTGGGCATTAAGGGTGTTGCCCTGGACTGGTTCCGGTCTTATTTAAGGGACAGAAGTTTCTGCGTTAAACTTGACAACTCTGTGTCGTCAACAGCTCCCCTCTCACATGGGGTCCCCCAAGGCTCAATCCTTGGCCCTCTTTTATTTGCCTTTTATTTACTCCCCCTTGGTTCTGTTTTTAGGAAACATGGCATCTCCTTTCATTTTAACGCTGATGATTGTCAGATCTATTTTCCACTTGCACAGAACAACTCCAACTCAGTCCAGCAACTCACTGACTGTCTTAAGGACATTAAAGCCTGGCTTTCTTTTAACTTCCTCAGTCTAAATGAGAACAAGACCGAAGTAATGATGTTTGGACCAAGTGGGGGCCACCCCCCCAACATCGACCTAGGCTCCTTCTCACCCTACCTTAAAGAGGTCGTCACTAACCTGGGAGTTAAGTTTGACCCTGATTTTAAATTTGAGAAGCAGATCAGCGGGGTGGTACAAAAAAGTTTTTATCAGCTACGTCAAATAGCGAAGGTGAAGCCCATTTTATCAAGACCTGACCTGGAAAAATTAATCCATGCTTTTATTACTACCCGTCTTGACTACTGTAACTCTCTGTATGTAGGGATTAGCCAGGCTTCCCTTGCCTGCCTGCAGCTTGTGCAGAACTCCGCTGCACGTCTCCTCACCCAGACCCACAGGCGTGAGCACATCACCCCCATCCTGGCATCCTTACACTGGCTCCCTGTACAGTACAGAATTCATTTTAAGCTTTTAATATTTGTTTTTAAAAGTCTGAACAATCTTGCTCCACCTTACATTTCTGAAATGCTCCAGCCTTACTGCCCACCCCGACCCTTAAGATCAGCCGATCAGCTGCTACTGACGGTCCCATATACAAGG